GGAGGCCCCCCTTGCTCTGGCCACGTAGCCCGGGGCTCGCGGTGTCGCCGGTTCGGGCGGTGGGAGAGTGCGTGGACCCACCGAGTTTGCGGCCACCACCGCAGTCCACGTTACAGCGTGTCCATCACCCCGTGATGGGGAAACCCGTGCCCAGCAGCGGCCACCCCCACCCCTGGCCACGGTCCGCTTCCTGTCTGCGCGGACCGTGCTGAAGGTGGAGTCACGTGTTACTTCCCTTTTGTGTCTGGGTTCTCCCACGTGGCGCGTGTTTTTGAGGGTCGCTGTGCTGTAGCGGGTGGCCGAGCTTCCTTCCTGTTTAAGGCCGAGTCGCAGTCATTTGTGTGGATGGGCGGTGTTTTGCTCATTCGTTCATCCACGCGTGGGCATTTGGGCCGTGTCCACCTTTTGGCGACTCTGACCGGTGCCCCGGTGTCGGTGCCTGTTTCTCTGTGACGGCTGCTTGCATTTTGCTGGATCACATGTAGACTCTGATTCGCGCTTTAGGGACCCGCTGGACTGTTTCCCGCAGCACCTGGGGGCTCCGGCTCCTCTGCATCCGCCGCGGGGGGTGCGCAGGGGACCTGCCGGGTGGGCCTGGCTGTCCCCGACGGCCCACGACGCGCCTTTCCGTGCACCTGGTGCTCGTGCTGCCCAGACCCGCCCCGGGTTCTTTTTTTGGGATGGCGTCCTCCCTGCTGCCCCCCGGGGAGACGACGGAGTCTGGGGGGCTCGCTGACTGCGGGTGGGGGCTGCTGGGGTGCTGTGCCGTCCTGTGCAGACACTGGTCCGGCTGTGGACCGTCCCTCCCCGTGACCCCATGGGGACAGAGCAGGGCTGAGGGTCGGCCGTGGACGCCCGGCACTGCGGGGCCTGCCTGTTGCCTGGCGAGTTTGGTCCCTGGGGACTGAGAGCCAGGCCCCCTCCTGGGGGGTGGGAGGTCCCCCATGTGGACGCCCCCCCCCCCCCCCCAGCACGGGCCCCACAGTGAGGCCCGCGAGGTGGTGTTCACCACCCCAGTGTCTGCTCGTGGCTCTTTGGGGCTGTGTCGACGATCTGACTGTGTTTTCTTTCTCTCTTCCTAATTTATAGCCAGAAAACCTGCAGAAGAACTGGCTGCGGGAGTTCTATCAGGTAAGAGGTGCCGTGACCGCGTGCTTCTCAGATGGCCTCTTTGTGCCGTGAGTACCTGCTCTTTGTGGAGACCGTGCTGTGTCCGGGTCGGGTGCGGGCTGGGGCTGTCCTGGGGCTGGCTGTGCGGGGTGTCACGTGCCTCCGTGGAGGCACCTGTTCCGATTCCTCTCCCTCCGGGTGGGGGTCTCCGTATGGTTGGGGGGGGGGGCGTTGGGAGCTTCTGGGGACATTAGGGTACCTTTCAGGAAGGTCCTCTGGTGGCAGCATAAAGGCGGCAAAGCCACGTGGGAGGCCACGGTGGGGTCTGGGCCAGGGTGTGGGGAGGACCCGGGTCCGAGGCTTCAGGGGGAGGCGCTGCCGGGTGAGGGGCCAGGTGCTGGCACCGAGCGTTGAACAGGTATTGGCGGAGCCCGTGGTCGGCGCGAATTCTGTTCCGGATGCTCGGGGGCGGGTTGGAAGCGGCGGACAGACGGCTGTGCTCCCAGGGTGCGTGCTGCGTGAGCAGACGGGTGGCCAGCGTGGCCAGGGGGCCAGGGGAAGCTCAGGTGTTTCCGGATGACAGGTGGCAGCGGAGTTGAGCACGTGGCACGTGTACACGTGGGACCCCCCAGGTAGTACGTTGGAGAGGCCACTCCGAGGCACGGGATGCCTGAGGAGACCTTGTGGGTGAGAGGAGCCGAGTGGCCAGGCGTCCAGCTCGGCGAGGGCCGTGGGCAACTGGCCCTGCCAGGGTGTGAGGGGTCCACAGCTCCGAGGGCAGCTTGGAGGAGGGTGGCGCAGGTGGGGCGTTGGGGGAGGGGCAGCTGGGGGACGGTCCCCTGCCCCTGTCCCCTGCCCTCCTGCAGCTCTGCTGAGCCCGCGGCCGTGCCGTGTGAACAGGACACAGTAGGAGATGCTGGGGATGGCCCTGGGCCCCCCTTCCTCCTGGCCTTGGGGTGCGGCAGGCTGAGATCCGAGGTGCTGAGGGGCAGGGGCAGGGCACAGCAGCCGATGGACGTGGGCACGGGCTGTGTCCTGCCTGCCTGGGCAAGGTGCCGGCCCCGGGCTCCCGCCGTCCCTTCCGGGTGTCGAGGGCGGTCGCGCATTGGGTCTGCTGGTGCCGAGCCATCTACCAGAGGCCCAAGGGGCAGCGGCGGGTGGTGGCAGATCGTGGGGCCGCAGGCACGGGAGGGCAGAGCCTCGGACAGTCTTTTTCGTCCCTTGCTGTCCCGTCCAGCGAGGTGCGTCCTTCTGGGGTGTTTGGAGGTGGGGTCCCTCCCTCGCCCATCCCGCACGAATTGTCCGCCGCGTGTCATGCTTGGTTCTCGGCAGGGATGGAAGGCAGACCCCTGGGACACCAGGGAAGCTCTGGAAGGAGCAGCCCGTGGGGTGAGCAGGTGGGAGGCCGTCAGCGAGGGTCTCTGGCAGTGAGGTGGGGCTGGTGGGCTCTCCGCCCTCCCCCTCTAACCTTCTGCCCTGCCCAGGGACCTCCGGCCCAGGCCCAGCCCTGGCCCAGCTGTTGCCAGTGTCCGCTCCGGGCGGGAAGCCGGCCGAGCAGGCGAAGCAAGGGCCCTTCCTGGCCAAGCGCTGGCCTCTCGGGGGCTGGACGGGCTCCAGGGCCCCTGCTGCCTGTGGTGTCCTCCTGTGGCTCCCTGGCCCCCTGGGTCTGTGTCCATTTCGGCTGGAGCGGCTGCCCTGTGAAAGCTACGGCTCCCGTGTCTCAGAGGTGGGCCCCGGGTGGGGGGTGGGAGGAGTATAGAGCGTGAGGTCGGGGAGGCGCACGTCCTGGCTCCTGGCGCGCAGAGAGGCCCATGGGAGGCGAGACGCCACCCGACAGGCCCCAAACTGGACCCCAGTGCCAACTTTGCCCTTCTTACTCTGCTGGTGATGGGGCCACCGGTCACCACTGCTGTGGCAGCCAGGTACCAGTGGTCTGAGAGGGAGTTCGGGGCCGGGCAGCTGCCCCTCCTGTGAACTCTGGCCCCTGGAAAACCACAGACCAACAGGTGTTTCCCCCTCTCTGAGCCTCCTCGCTGCACACAGCCACATTGGGCTGTTTCCGGAACTGGGGACCCGGGACCCAGAACCCAGAGGGGCAGGCAGCCTGTTGCCAGAGCACCTGGTGTCCAGAGTGCTGAGCCTTTATTCACAGAAAGGGGATCGAGAGCCACGGTGTGCACGTGGAGGTGCCATTCTTCCCGGCTTGTGTGCAGAGGTCTCCTCAGAAGGAAGAGATTCTGGTGACGGTTCCTTTCTTTCTTATTTGAAAGAACACTTTTTTTTTTTTAGCGTCTATTCATCTTAGTGTGAGAGTGCACGCAGGGGAGGGGCAGAGAGAGAGGGAGACACAGAATCCCAAGCAGGCTCCAGGCTCCGAGCTGTCAGCACAGAGTCCGACGTGGGGCTCGAACCCACGGACCGCGAGACCATGACCTGAGCTGAAGTTGATGCGTAAGCGACTGAGCCACCCAGGCGACCCTCAGTGACGGTTCTTGTAAGAATTAAACGGGAGCCCCCCAACACATTTTGGGCTGACCTGGGCAGTGAGGTGTTCAGCCGGCTGGCCTGAGTGCAGAGGGAGTGGGTCCCGCCAGAGCCCAGGCCAGTGCGCTGGGCCAGCACTCAGGGACGAGGCGCCTCGAGGCCCCGGGGGCCTCTGGGTCCCTGCCTTTTTAAAAAGTGTTTAATCCTGGAGTTTCTGTTATGCGGCCATTTTTCAAAGGAGCCTTTGATAAGCTGCTTTTGTAAATACAACTGAATACGACATCTGTGCCTTTTAGAACCCTTGGATTAATTTTCCTTTTTCTGTAACACTTATCACCATAAAAAAGCAGGGAACAAGAGAAATATTGTTGGCGTTTCCATCCTTAGTTTTGATGGGCCTCTGATGCTTTTGGCATCCAGGATTTTTACATATTTGGTCCTGAGTGTGGCCTTGGCACCAGAGAGGTGGTCAGTCTTCCAGAAGGTGCACAGCCTGGTGTCACCCCTGCTGGCCTCCCCACGCCCCTCCCTGTCCTGTCTCCCTGAGCATCAGACTCTTGGTCCTGTGGCCGGTGACACCAGTCTCCCCCTTGTTGGGGTGCGCGGGCTCTAAGTACAGGGGCCAATCCCTGCTCTCATCTACCTCCATACCTCCATGCCAGCGGCAGGCCTTGTGACCCCTTCACGGCCCACCCAGAGCCTCCCCCAGGGCCCGGCCATGTCCCCATTCTGCTCTCTGTAAGCAGCAGGGTGCTCCCTGAGGCCGTAACTCTGGTTGGGTACCTTTCGTGCTTCTGGTCCCCCTGGGTGAGAGCCTAGGGTCCATGCGTGGCCTTCTCTGCGCTGTCTCCAGACACGCTGGGTGTTTCAGGCCTCTGTGCTTGCTCTAAGTTGGCCGTCCGAGCCTTCCTGCCCCATGCACGCCCCTGCCCCCACTCTCTCCCCTGCCCCCACTTTCCCGGTTCTTGTCCTTGTCACTCCCCACCACCTCCCCCGAGAGGCCCCTCCTGGTCACTCTCTTGGCTTCCCCTTACTCTTGCTGTGCTTTGTGGATTCATCTGAACTTGAACTTGCAGTCTGCCCGTTGGGTGCATATTGATCTGTCCCCCTGGAAATGCGGGCTGCACGTCATGGCCTGGATCTTTGTGCCCCGCCAAGTTCCTGCACCGAGGATAGTGTTCGAGGTGGGGCCTTTGCGAGGGGAATAGGAAATCGATGAGGTCACGCGGCGGGCCCACGGTGACATTACTGCCCCCATAAGGAGAGAGAGGGGCCACAGTGTGGGAGGGCCGGCCAGCGGGCCAGGTGCTAGGGGCCACGCCCTTGGGAGCTTCTGTCACACCGGAGAGACAGCCGGAAAGCCCCGTGGGTGGTCCAGGGATGGTGCTGGGAAGGACATGGCCTGTCTGGGGCTGGGGGTTGCAGGCCCCTGTTGGTGGGGTTCTCAGGAAAGCTCTTGAGGAGGCCGTGCCCAGACGTGCTGCCTGCTCTACCCCTGACCCTCCAAACTGCGGGCGAGGCTGCCGGGAAGTCGGTTTTAACTTTTCTCCCCTGTGTGATGGTAGTGTGCTTGCACGTAGGCTCTTTGCCATCCCGCTCATGCTTGTCCTGAGCACTGGGCGTGTGTCGGGCACGTGGGGTGTGTGCTCAACAGTTCTTTCTTGAATAACAGTCTGGGGAAATTGCACAAAGCAGAAAGTGTGAATAAAATACCCCCAGCCCGTTCTGCCTCCGGCTTGACGCACGCGCCCTAACGCGTGTCTCACCAGCTGTGTGCCCGGAGGAGAGGGCGACCTCCTTAGCAGGTTGCAGGCACATGTGTTGTTACAGCTGAGCCGGGACATCTTTCTGTGCAAGTGAATGCATGCTCCCTGTTTTAATGGCTTCAGAGGATTTCGTTAACTGGACACACCAGCCTTTTTAGAGTCACCGTTCTGTTGATGGATTCCTAGGTTGTTTGGAGTTTATTGTAATGGTGTAGATAAACTGTAACACAGATATAATGTCTCTCATACGAATATAAATTGAACAAGTGTTGAAGATGTTTTAAATTGCAGTAATAAGTATTACTTGTTAGCGAGAGAAGTAAGATGAGAAGTTAGACCTGCTTCAAGCAAGACTCCCCAGAGCAAACCCAGATTCTTCTAGCAGCTGAGTGAGTTTATTTGCCTAAGAGATGGAAAACAGGCCAGTAATCAGTTCTTTCCACCAGACACCTTGTTCCTGTGGTCAAGAGTCATTTGCATTGTTATCAGGATTTAGAATTGACAGAATCGTAAAACAGCTCAGTGATCGGTAAGGTCAAGGTGGCCCAGAGGGGAGCTCCGCCGGACTCTGGACTTGCGAATCTGTTGGCCGTGTCAACGTCATTCACACGTTTTCTGGAGTGTGATTCCGAGATGGATGTGCGGAGCGGTCCTGCCTCCAGGTAACCTGCGGGAGTGGGCACCAAACGTGCCCTCCGAAACCGGAAAAGAGACACGAGACTGTGGTTTTCAGGCCCAGCCCACAGGCCGGACAGTGACCACGGAGGGTCAGCCCTGTGGCTGCCCCCCCCCCCCCCCCCCCGGGGGGGGCGTCCAGGCGGGCCCCGGCAAGGTGGAGGGTGCGGTCATTGCTTACAGCCGACCGGAGATGACCAGACAGGCAAGGATGCGGGCAAGCGGGACCCGTAGTGAGGAGAAAGCAGGCGTTTGGAGCTGGAGCGTCGCCAGCCTCACCAGCTCGGAGAACCTGCCTTGGGTTTTACGGGCTGCATCTGTTTGTTTTCCTCTTTTCCTCATTTGTTGGTTGTTTTGCTTTTTATGTTTTGCTTTCTTTTGATTATTTTGGGTTTAAGTTGCTTTCCTCCATCTCATTTCTGAAGGTGGAAGATAAAAATCACCAATTTCAGAGATCTGACGTGGGGCATCGTCACTAACAACCCTGCAGGCATTAGAAAGATAAGGGACTATCAGTGAGCAACTTCATGCTAATAAATTCAGAGATTTATGTGAGAGTTGCCCGTTTTTGGAAAAACAGAGCATCAAAGCTCACAGTCAAGAAGTACGTGAACTCAGCGGTCCTCTATCTGTTAAATTAAACTTTGCCCACCACTTTGGGACAAAAAAACCCAGGCCCGCGTGGTTTCAGTGGTGAATTCTGTCAAACACTGAAGCAAGACGCAGTGGCAATTCTGCAGAAACTTCCAGAGATATTGAGGCCCGGGCGATGCTTCCTCACTCCCGTGACACGAGTGTCGCCAGAGCACCAAGGCAGGCAGAGGCTTTACGTGACGAAGGTACATGTGCCAACGTCTCCCTTGAAATAAATGCAAAACATAAAACTTTAGCACCGAATGTGTGAAGCAGCGTGTACCAGCGTGTCACATGGGTACACACACACAGGCACAGCGGATGACAAAGTTAATGCGTCGTCACCAAGGAACAGATCAGAAATCGATAGATAAAGTTTACCGTGTCAACAGATTAAAGAAGAAAAGCCATGCGATCATCTCAGTATGTGCAGAGAAAGCATTTGGCAAAATTCTGTAACCACGTCTCATGCAGACTGTCAGCAAACTAAGGACTGAGGGGACCTCTCAGCCCGTGAAGGCGTCATTAGAGCCCACGGCTGACCTCATGCCCGATAGTGGGGCAGGGACGCCTGGCATCACCTCCCCTGTTCAGTGTGGTCCCGAGGGTCCTGGCCGGGCCGATCTGAGAGAAGGAACTGAGAGTCCCCGTGTGGGTGAAGATACGACTGCCGTCCGCAGGCTCACAGTGGGTCCACGGGAACCTTACTAGCGTAAGCGCGTTTGCTGGCAGTGTGCCAGGACTCTGCGGAGACATCTTTGTCCCCTTGGCCACGAACGGTTGGAGCCTTAAGTGGCGCTGACAGAGGAGGGGCCTGACGTAAACGTACCGGCGTCAACACCTGCACGTAGAGGCCTGTGAGCCGGGTACAAAGGACGCCAGAGACCACGTGAAGGGACGGGGAGGCACGTTGTGTTTGTGTCATGGAGACTCTGTGATGCTAGTGTGGTGACCCCCCTCTGACCAAGCCCCCGTTCAGTGCATTTCCACTCCAGACCTCTGGGTGGTGTTTCGGTAGAAGTCTACAAAGTAGGTCTAAGATTTTATGTGGAAAAGCAGAGGAACTAGAATAGCCAAAAGTTTAGGGACTCACACTCTGATTTCATGATTTGTTGTACAGTTACAGCCACCAGGACAGTAGTCTGGCAAAAGGACAGAGCTACAGACCAATGGAACAGAAAAGAGATCCCAAAGTAGAGCCAGGAATATGGCCAAGTGATCGACCGGGGCTGATGGCTGTTGATCAGAGGAAGGGTGTCGTTGAGCCCACGGTGCTGGGAAAGTGGGCCTTCGTCCATCCACACGCAGAAAGCAGCACGTTTTCTATACGTTGCACCGCAAGCAGATTAAAGTCAGCTGTGGACCTGAGTATGAAACCCAAAATTATAGAAGTCCTAGAAGAAAACTTAGGAGAACATCTTTGTGACCTTGAATTAGGCAAAGATTTCTTAGACACACCGAAGCACAATTCATAAGAGAAAAACACTGATGAATTAGAATTTGTCACAATTAGGAGTTGGCCAAGCCTAGCCAGTAGCTGCCCGCTGGGGAGTGGGAGGGAAGCACTCCCCCGAGTCCTAGTGAGCGGTGGGAGTCCTGCGTGGGGCTAGGGTCTCGTCCAGGGGTCTGTGTCCCTGCACCTGGGGGTCGTGTCCTTGCACCTGGGGGTCTATGTCCCCGCACCTGGGGGTTGTGTCCCCGCACCTGGGGTTGTGTCCCCGCACCTGGGTGTCCCTGCACCTGGGGTTTTGTCCCTGCACCTGGGGGTCGTGTCCCCGCACCTGGGGGTCTATGTCTCTGCACCTGGGTGTCCCTGCACCTGGGGTTTTGTCCCCGCACCTGGGGGTCATGTCCCCGCACCTGGGGGTCTATGTCCCCGCATGTGGGGGTCGTGTCCCTGCACCTGGGTGTCCCTGCACCTGGGGTTTTGTCCCCGCACCTGGGGGTCATGTCCCTACACCTGGGGGTCGTGTCCCCGCACCTGGGGGTCGTGTCCCCGTACCTGGGTGTCCCTGCACCTGGGGTTTTGTTCCCGCACCTGGGGGTC